CTGACAACGGTACATGAGTTGGGACTTAGGACAAGGTTTCAACTCCCAAATCTACCACTTTCAAAGGACTTTGATAGGACTTTCAAAGGCCTCTGGGATCAAAGTGTTGGCAACTTCCGTGTCTATCTTGTCAATCGTACCTTCCAGCTCCTGGCCACAGAAGTCAACAAGGACAATTGCAAACAAGTATATTTATATATATATATGTATTATATTATATATATACCCAAAAAATGCCTGCTGCATCATTGCTGTCCTGATCAATCAAAGAAAGAGCCTTCACAACCAATCGGCTCTTCAATTCCTCATTGGCGCCTGCTTGCTTCAACTGGGATACTTTGCACATTTCCCTCAACTTCTGCCTGGGACAAATTTCAACTGCAATGGTTGATTTGTAGCCCCTCAACACAAGAGTTAGGACTTGCAAAGTCAAAGGTATCTGTATAGAAATTATATATATATATATAAATTGCTCCGTGTACTGAGTTCTCAACCTGCTGCCGTTGTCCAACTTTTGCTTAAGCTTGGCCATGCGGGACACATACGCTGACATACTGCTGGCCGCTTCACGCAACGTATGGCCTTTGGGGACCACACATACCCGCTTGTGCTGATCAAACTGGTAGATCACGCGGTCCGGTAGAATCTGCAATTGCGGAAATTCCGCTTGCAACAATTCCTGCGCACATGAGTTAGGAGTTGGACCACAGATCACACTTGTACTCATTATCATATAGAGTGCATATATATATATATATACGCCATATTGAACAAAACTTCAACCTTAGTTTGTTATACCACCTTCTCACACAATCCCTAAAAACTATCTGGCAAAATTCTTTCATTTTCCCTTATTAAAACTCTATCAAAATCTTAAAGTTTTCAAGCTCACAAAGGGTACCCCTCACACAGGCCCTATCGCGCACGAGCTCCAGCTGCTTTTTAAGGCTTTCAAGCCCACAAAGGGTACCTCTCACATAGACCCTACCCCTGCTGCGTGGATTGCACGCTCCAAGCTCTCGCTCCAAACTCCTAGGCCTCCACCTCCAAACCCGCGATCTCCACCTCCAAACTCCAACCCTGGCTCCTCCGCTTCAGCTCCCAATGGCAATTTTCCTTTTGGGTTGGACAGGGGCAAGGCCATGATGCAAGAAATGCTCGCTCATCGGACCATCGAATCATCGGAGCATTTGGACCATCGGACCATCGGATCATCCGACCATCGGATCATCGGACCATCGGATCATCGGATCATCCGACCATCGGACCATCGGACGATCGGATCATCGGATCATCGGATCATCGGACCATCGGACCATCGGATCATCGGATCATCGGACCATCGGACCATCCGATCATCGGATCATCGTATCATCAGATCATCGGACCATCGGATCATCGGACCACCGGACCATCGGACCACCGGATCATCAGATCATCGGATCATCGGATCAGGCAGCCCCACGATCATAAGTCAACCCAAAAGGAAAATTGCATAAAATTGCCAGCTCCCAAGCTCTCCTCTCCTCACTCCTCCTCATACATCATGCATCCTTTCCCGGATTGCGACAACGATGCATGGCAACTTGATCGAACTTGAGAAGCAATAATTTCGATGTGAATGATCAAACCTTGCGATGACCAGCCACATCAGTCAGTCAGTCCAGTCGAGTCCAGTCCATCAAGGACAAACAGGAAATGAGGGAATTAGACTGGGATACTTTGCACACTTCCCTCAACTTCTGCCTGAGACAAATTTCAACTGCAATGGTTGATTTGTAGCCCCTCAACACAAGAGTTAGGACTTGCAAAGTCAAAGGCCTCTGTATAGACATTAAATTGTTCTGTGTACTGAGTTCTCAACCCACTGCCGTGGTCCAACTTTTCTTAAGCTTGGCCATGCGGAACACATACGCTGACATATTGTTGGCCGCTTCACGCAACATATGGTGTTTGGGGACCACACATACCCGCTGGTGCTGATCAAACTAGTAGATCACACGGTCCGGTAGAATCTGCAATTGCCTGCGAACATGAGTTAGGAGTTGGGCCATAGATCACACCTGCACTCATTCTCATATAGAGTATATATATATATATATACGCCAGATTGAACAACATTTCAACCTTAGTTTGTTATACCACCTTCTCACACTGCTTCTAACCACACCAAAGGCCATTTCCAGGGGAGTTGTTTACAAGGCAAGAATTTCGAGTAGTCACAATTCTAAGAAAGGGTGTTGTAAAGGAAAAAATACCCTTTGATGTAGAGTTTTTCAATCTTTGATAAGAATTTAATAAAGGATTTTGTATAAAATTTTGCTAGGGGAGTTTGGGTTTTAAGTTCTTCCCATATGACATGTCTCCTCTATATATACAATATACATATATATATATAACAAAAACGATTCCGAGCTTGCTTCATTAAGCGAATCTCCTGATCCTTCTGAGTGGCTTTGTGCTTCGTTTTTGTGTTGGCCTCTCCATCCTGAAAACTTTGAAATGCTGATGTTCTCACTCTGAAGCAAGTGAATTGCCCTTCTCATGTCCTGCTTCTCCACCTTGCACTTCTGAAGCCCACCAGCACCAACATCCTCTGGAACCTGATTCGTACATGCGTGGGAATATGTGTTTATTTGGCTATGTGAGCACGATACCTGCAAGAGTACACAAGTCAAAAATGGCCTCAGGGGGTTTTGCACCCGATACGCTCTGCCCACTTTGCTCTTCATATCCCTGCGCAATTGCATGAACATGTTTGAAGCCCTGTGAGATAGGAGTTCCCCCTGGTGTGGATGCCATCAATCAATTGCCATGGTGTGAATATGGAAGCCCTGTGAGATAGGAGGCCCGCCCTGCTTTAGATTCCATCAAGTGAATGCTATGTTTGAGATTGTTCTTTTTGGCAACCCTACCTCAGCGCTTTTGCGCTTGTTCTTTTTCTTGGTCTCTCCATCCTGACAACTTTGGAATGCTGATGTTCTCACTCTGAAGCAAGTGAATTGCCCTTCTCATGTCCTGCTTCTCCACCTTGCACTTCTCAAGCCCAGCAGCACCAACATCCTCTGGAACCTGATTCGTACATGCGTGGGAATATGTGTTTATTTGGCTATGTGAGCACGATACCTGCAAGAGTACACAAGTCAAAAATGGCCTCAGGGGGTTTTGCACCCGATACGCTCTGCCCACTTTGCTCTTCATATCCCTGCGCAATTGCATGAACATGTTTGAAGCCCTGTGAGATAGGAGTTCCCCCTGGTGTGGATGCCATCAATCAATTGCCATGTTTGAGACTGATCTCTGGTTGTGCGTCCGCAGTATGCTGTTGTGTCTCCTCATATCAACATGTGTTGGGAGTTCAGTGCATACACAAACTGCACACGCTCTCCTGGGGTCCAAAGAAGGCTTTCTTTCTGCGGTCCTGCAAAGCATCTATACATATATTATATATATATATGTTATACAGCACACTGCATTAGGTTCACTGCAGCTGCATGTCCTCATCGATTTGAAGCATGCAATGCTCAATCAGCCGTGACTTCAACTCTGGCATACTACCTGACACTCTCACACCAGCTTTCTTGCATAGCTCTTTGAGCGCCTGCCTCGGATAAATCCAAGCGATGTATATATATATATATACACAACATCTTACAGGAACATGGTGACCTTGGACTTTATAACACATGGTTATATGCAGGAAACACTTCTGAGTGCCAAACCTGTTGGCTGACACAAAGGAAATAGTGAGATCCTGCACTGCTAGCGAGTATGCAGAAAGTGACATAGCCGCCTGAAGCAACGTTCTCCCTTCTCGAGTGCTGAAAGCCTTCCGCGATGTATCACCCGACTTGAAGATAACATGGTCGTCATGAACTTCCATTTCAGGAAACTCCCTCTGAACCTTCAGGCATGCACAGATGAGTTGGGACTTACCAGCTGCTTGAGATGCACCAATGTGACAAAAGAACAATTCATCCACCCGGCCTGCTCACGCTCAGACAGAGCAGTCTCCAGGGTCAAGGGTTTGCGTGGTTCTGGATCTTCCCAGAGTTGCACTGAAAAAAGCGCTGCAGCTAAGACCAGGGCACTCACACCAATATGCTGTCCGTTCCCCAACATTGGGTGAGGGTTGGACAAGGCTGCGACGTTGAAAACCTCAGGACGGTCAGATGGTGAGGCTTTTACATTGCACTTGGGTGGAACCGTGCACTCGTGAGGTTCATTATATAGTTGCAACTTGAGGGGTCAAAAAAAAACACATCCATCAGTCGAAGCACTGGTGTCTTGTTCAAGGCCGCCAATGACTCAGTCACGCCAAATCCGTGCCCTGCATATTTTTCAAGCGCTAGAAGATGGCGCTTCAGCCCAGGCAACCAAATAACTTTGTCACTCTTTGTAAAGGTCGGCAACAGACCCGTCTTCTTGAGCTTACTGACATAGTCAGGATTCTGATTCACGCAGAAAGCTTGAAGTTCCAGAGACTCCTCTCCTAAGAGATCTTCGTACTTCTTCTTGTTTTGCTTCTCGAAGTTGCCCAAGAAGCTCTCCGGATAGGATTCGAGTGACTTGCCAGACAGTCCTAATTCATGGGCTAGGTCAGATCCTGTCGACACCTTGCAGAGCTCTGGAAGCGTCAGGTGTTTGTCGTTCAACCCTTTACAGAGCTGATGGTAGACCTTTTGCGGGTCTCTGATGAACACGCCTGCATCTCGTCTCAACATGACTTGAAAAGCTCGGCGTCGGGAGATGCAGCTGAAACCTATGTCTTGAGGTTCACCGAAGATCACCTGAGATAGGACTTCCAGGTTTGCATAACAAAACTGCAATGCAGATATTACACTCGGCCGCGGAAGTCACGGCTTACATTCAAGCCCCAATGCAACCGCGTTAACAATATATATATATACAATTATATATATATATACACAATTATGCTGAGTTAGGAGTTTGGTGGTCTGATGAATTAGTACTTGCCTGACTGGGGAAAAAATCATGTCAGAACGATTTACAGCGCAATCAAGTTTCCCTTGAATCCATTTCAGACTCAAGTGTCTCAACGATCCGCTGGTTGATGTTGCCAGTGGCAACATTTTCAGAAATAACAATCTTTGCCTTGATGATTTTCTTCAAACTTTCAAGGTGCACCAAGGTTGCCTGGGCGCATCAAGCAAACACACACACACACGTGACTATGATGATGACTCATTTGTGTTATTCTCATGAGATAGGAATGTGACACCAACTCACATCAGCACAAGAGAGAGAAAGAGAGAGAGAGAGAGAGGGAGAACAAAAACAAATCACACATACGCAACTTGGTTGATGAGAAACTCTTCTGCTAGGTCCATCATCTTGACCACGGTTTCCAGCTTGGCTGTCATCTGTACAAGGTGCTCCAAAAATATTTATATCTGCGGTAGGAATCTGACAGCTGCCGCTGTGCCTTATGCATGGAACCCTGGCTTTCAAGTCACACTCTCTGATGAACTGCGCGGCTTCTTCACCATTGCCATAGCCACATATCTTCAATCTGTCATCAATACCCACCAAATCCATCTGGTCCTTGAACATGCAAGCACCGGCAAAATCTTTCATCAGCACCTGCTGGCAAGGTCTCAGCTTCTCTGTGAAGGCGACCTTGGACAAACAGGACTCATTCTGCCAATGTTTGAACGACTTTAGCCGCAACCCTCTATGACTCTATGAGTTAGGACTTGCAAAGGCGCTTGAACTCAGGGCGAAACATGCTGAAAGGAGCACCCGAAGCCATGCTGTTCAATAATTTTGGAACCTCTGGATTGGCTGCAAATACCTGAAAAGTTTGATGAGACTGTGAAACACTTGCCGGACACCAAAGCTGGCATCTCATCCTGCTTCAGACCTTTCTTCAGATCCTCCAAGTTCAGTCTGGCTTTTGCTGACCACTCAAAGGCATCTTCCAAAGACTGAGCACGAGATAGATCTGGTACGATCCATTTGTAACTTTTGGGCCATTTGTAAGCATAGGGCTGGCCACTGGATGTCCGAGCAACAGCATCACACACATCCACGGTGTCCTGAAAGGCACACTGGTGTTGAACTCCTATCTCATGTTTGTTTGCATCCACAAGAAAACACTGTGGCACAACATTGTCCTTGTCTATTTGCTTTTCCTCTGAAGAGTTCTCATGAGAATCTGCCTGATTTGCATTGGCTGAGTGGCTCACCAACCCATCCACCAGGAGTTCCATAACTGTATATATATTATAGATATTTTTATACAGATTGTACGCAAGCAACACCCAATTGCTTCACCCATACCTTGCTTAGCACAATCCGCCCTGCCCAGCTTTGCTACCTAGCCCCTATGAGTTAGGACTTGCTGCATTACAAACACTGTGAACATTATATAGACTTGGTCTTGCTAAAGGTGATTCCTATATTCCCTTTTTGATAATCCAAGTATATACTTAGTGCAAATGAGTTGATGAGTTAGGAGTTTAGTGATTTGATGAGTTAGCAGCTTCTTAGCGCCCGGACTCCTTTGCTGTCTTCGTGGGCGTTTGCAGCCTTATCCCGCAGCAAAATGAAATCTGACACGTGGAAGTTTGCAAGGCTAAGGTGGCCACCAATGAACTTACCTCATGTCCAGCTGCTGCTTCCTGTGCATCTACCATCTATCTATATATATATATACACAACACACTTGATCATGATTAATGAAAGGATGCAACAGGCACCTGCCCCGCATTTTCACTTGAAGACGGAATCTCCTCAAGGTCGCTGCATGCAAGACGCCATGAGATAGGAGTTTGCAACATGCAGCTCCTCTACAGAAAGTTTTCTGGTCTGTTCCAACCCTCTTTGTCAAATCAGAAAACTATATGTAACGTACATAACCTATACTGTAAATGGAAAAATAGTCACAAACTGTTTCAGCACACTCCTGCCTGCGCACAAGTCTGCTCTGGTTCAGTGGCAGACAGCGCGGCCTGAAAGATGATAAAGTTAGAATATGCCAAACACCTCATTGTCATGCCCCCAAGAAAGAAATACATATGAGTTAGGACTGCCTGCTTCTCTTGAAAACTCCCATTTCAAACAATCCCAACAAGCATGCGTGTCAGGGTTCCCAGCCTTCTTCGAATTGTTCTCAGTCTCTTGGCCATCTTGACCACGGCTAGCCGCCTCATCCCGGAAAACTGCACTAGATCCCAATCTTCTATCAAGTCAAAACATATATTTGTTCATGTAGCTTCCTGACTCCAACTCCAAAAACCTACATCGGCGTGACATGCTAGAAGGTTAGAAGAATGAGGCGCTGACCGATCCACACCCTAGACCAGCGGCAGTTGCCTTTTCAATCTCCTCAAGGCATGCAAGACTTCATGACATAGGAGTTTGCGACATGCAGCTCCTCTACACGAACATTTCTTGTCTCTTCCAATCCTTCCTGTGTGAAATCAAAGTCTACAAATACTGTGAATGGAAAAAAGGATCACAAGCTGGTTCAGCACACTCCTGCCTCCGCACAAGCCTGCTCTGGTTCAGTGGCAGGCGGCGCAGCCTGAAAGAGGATAAAGCCTCTACATTGCCATGCTCCCCCGAAACAGGACGACACATGAGTTGGGACTTTTCTGCAGGTGTTGAACATGTCCATCTCCAACTAACCCAAAAAGCACACATGTCAGGGTTCCCAGCATTCTCCAAAGCGTTCTCAGTCTCTTGGCCATCTTGACCACGGCTAGCCGCCTCATCCCGGAAAACTGCACTAGATCCCAATCCTCTATCAAGTCAAACCAAGTTATATATATATAGTTGTTCATGTAGGTAGCTTCCTGACTCCAACTCCAAAAACCTACATCCACATGAGATGTTAGAAGATCAGAAGAATGAGGCACCCACCAGTTCTGCTTCTTGGCTTGGCTGTGCTGCAGCTGCTTGTTGTCTGGGAATCGTATTCAACCATTCTTCATCTGATGCTGGGCTTGGTGAACTCGATCGTTTGATCGATTCCCATAACAGTATTCCAAATGCTTTATCGTAATCGGCACGGCCAAGCCTACGTCTTTTGAAAGCTCGTGGTTTCAATGGTTCCTCTGCTGCTGAATCCTGTGCTAATGCTTGCGCTGGATTTGCCAAAGGGTGATCTCTTCCTGGTTGTGGGTCCACCTGCCAGTGTAGGAAGTGGTACGTACATGAGATGCTAGAAGATCAGAAGAATGAGGCACCCACCAGTTCACTCTCCAATCCAGCGGCAGTTGCCTTTTCAATCTCCTCAAGGCATGCAAGACTTCATGA